GATAACTATTTGGGCATTATAAGGATTTCGCATGTGAAATTTCGACATTTTCTGATTCATAAAAGTATTTTTAATGTTTGCATAGATAAGGAAGATGTGAAAAGAAAAAAAAAGGCATGAGAGAAACATTGCTTTACAAACCTTAAAACTTAATAAAAAAATTATATATTTTGCATATGGAAGCATTGTAACGTTTACAGATAAACTGGCAAATTTCGTTAACATTCACTTACTAATTTAAAAGTTATAGCATGAAACTATAAAAAGCAGAAAATAGTTATGAAGTTGGTCCCCATGAACTGAGCCTGGGTTGAAAGAGTTAAAATGATCACAGGTTCCAATCTAGACCCCCACAGGTCCAAAAGGGGGTCTATCCATTGAGCATTTAAATATACCTCCTCCTGGCAGTGATAAGCCAAAGCATGCTGTTCCGATAAACATTGGGGACAAGGCATAGCTATCCTGTTGTGTAACTGAGTGGGAAATCTCCCAGCATGAACAGCAATATCAGGAGGAGAAGGAAAAGTAGTCACTTGCCGTCCTTTCTGTCAACAAGAAAGAAGTAGTCAAATGAAATAGGAGAGACCCCCAAAACCACACAAACCTGAGTAACCAACTGAAGAAAAGGCACTGGAGGTGGCTGATCAAGATGATTCTCTGTTGAAGCTGACCTAGTAAAAGGAGGAGCCTGAAAAAGAAAAAGTGAGTCTAAATTCTCCCCAGTTGGTTCCGGGTCATTTGCAAAAGCTGCCTTAGAACCCTCCGGAGATACACCCTCATTCTGCATATATTTCTCCATCTTGCAATGGATCCCGTCCCCTGACTGTTGACAAACACCAGATAGCAGAGGTGGAAGAGAAGAGGTCTGGTTGGCCTCCGTAGTAGAAACATTAACTCAGGAATTCATACCCGTTGATACGTTTTTTTTTTGTTAAAGTAATTTAGAAATGTAAATGAAGATATAACCATAGTATTCAACCACGTTCAAAGTCACAACATACATTGTGAATAATCACAACTCTCCTATTTATAGAAACCCATGCCAAATGTTTTGTTGAGAAAAAGTGATTACATTATCTGAACGAGGTGCTTATATACAGTACCTAGATAGAGGGCTCATTTGAAGTTGGCGGAGAATTTTGCAAGTTAGAATTTACCAAGGGCAATCGAGTGGGGTATGAAAGACTAGAGCAAGCATTTTTGATGCTTAGATTGGCAAAGAGTGGAAACCCTGGAGATTGAGAAATAGCTATAGTGTCAGTGGAGATAAGTATGTTTTGGAAGTAAGTCTATAAAAATTACCTGGGTTTTTAGTGTTCCTTATTATTACTGTTTTGCCAGTATTATTAATCAATGTCATTTTTGATTAATTCAAGGTTGGTCATCTCAGTCAGAGTTATGACTCATGAAAATAATCAACTTGAAATTAGTCTTTCCAATTATTACTGTTCCAAATATCCAAGTCTCATATGAAAAAGATATTAACTGAACTTAATCGATTAATGAGTCTGAGAATTAACTGATTAGAAACTTTTACTAATCACTCAGCTTTACTTGCGAAACTAGAATTTTATGTCACTTGTCAGACCAAATTTGATGCGAGAGAACACACAGTGTTCTGAAAGTATTAGACGTGGCTCAATTTAATGAACATAGAATGGATTCTATGCAGAACTAGAATCAGCTGATATGTTATTAAACAAATTAAGAAAAAAAACCAAGCCCTAGTCATGCATATTTCTAATGCTATGAATGCACTTACTCAAATCCAGAGAGTTGTATGCTGATGGCCTTTAGAGAAGTTATCTTTTTCTACAGGAGCAAACCAATAAGATCTCAGCTAGAATTTATTAAAGAAGATTATAAGTCAATTCTACACTAGACTCAATGTGGCATACTGCTGTACTTGTGTAATTATCTTGTCCTTCATTTTCCAAGTTAGGGGTGTAAACTAACAGCTGAGGAGGAGATACTGATGGTGCTGGCAAAAGCACAGTTGAACTTAATGACCTTACTTATTGATTTGGAATAAGTGTTTTTGTGTCCCACACCAGTTCTACTGTTGGTTTGATGTCATGCATGAATACCTAAAAGAACTTGTGATGTGGCCAGAAAAAGACTTCATATAATTGCCAAGGCATTTGGGTATGATAATTTTAAGAAGACAGAAGTAATAATTGACTGTTTTCAAATTCCTAGAGATTAAAATCTGCATTTAAGAGCTCAAACATTATTCTCATTATAAGGGATGCTACAGTGTGAAACTTCTGATTGGTATAAATCCCAACAGTGCTGCTATATTCCTGCCTGACGGTTGAATTGGTCATACTAGTCATGGATTCATAACAGCAGAGTGTGGACTGTTAAACAAACTTAATTCTGAAGATGTGGTTTCAGCAGATTATGGCTTTGCAATGAAGGAGGACTTTGTTATCAGACTGGTAACATTACTGATATCTGTTTTCACCAAAGACAAGTCACAACTCTGAAAAAGAAACAATGGAGCCAAAGAAGTTACCCAGAGTAAAAATCCACAATGAGCATTTGAAAAACCAAGTAAGATTAAAGAATTTTTAAAGGCATATTGCCAGTTTCTTTTATCAAATGCCAAAAGGGCCATGGCTCTACAAGCATTATTGTCAAGACAGCACTAATAAACCTATCACATTCTGTGTTTTGTGTAAAGGAGGATGGAATGAAATACCTGTAAGCAAACTCATTAGACTCTTTTGCACAAAGTTTCTCATTTAGTAGTTTTAGACATTCTATAAGATACTATTGCTATTATCTGATTTAGCAGTGTGTGTGTGTGTGTGTGTGTGTGTGTGTGTGTGTGTGTGAGAGAGATAGTGTTTATGATTTGTTGTATTTTATGACATGTATGCATACTTTTTTTTTCTGGGTAATATTTTGGACCTTCAAATCACTGTAATATTATGTATTTATGAAAATATAGTCAAAGAAATTTGTGTAACAAAAAATAACATAAAAAGCAAGAACAGTGTTTAAAATGCACAATAAAAACTTTGGTCACCAATGATCAACATTAAATGGCTTCAAATCCCTATTTTGACTCCACTAAAATTGATAAGTACTGTAGACATGGAGTCAAAATTGGGATATGTACAATTAGAAAATAATGTAGACACTATTTCCAGCCTAATTTGTTTACTTTTTAGAGTCCCTAGTTTTACACTTGAAAATATGATCTTTGCATTTTGATTCAATTTGTTTCTGTACTTTTTTAATGATCCCTCTTCCATTTTTTTAAATTAAAAATTTTGAATTATCATGTAAGAACATACAACACTGAAAAATTGTTACCTTATATTTTGAATGTCTTTTGTATAACTACAAGTCAGTTAAATATTAATGACTTTTTACAGATCCATAATATAAAAATGTTGAGCATGTTATATTAAAATGACTGGAATATGCAAATAAGTCAGTCGCATAATAATCACTGCCAATATAAAGTCAGAGGATGTATCACCACTCATTTTGACATTGCTTGGTGTTACATAGGTAAAGAGTGATGTCATGAAAAATTTCTTGCTTTAGGGAAGAACATAAAACAGCCATTTTCAATGCAAATTATTCATACATGCAGATCATAAAGGTGTGTTTGGATCGGGAATTTAGAATTTCCAAGATGGGGGATATCCAGATACTTAATGACATTGGAAGACAAAGAAATATGGAACAACTTGGAACACCAGGACTGTCCAGAAAGAGACCTGAAACAAGTTTTATTCTAACCATGGTAAGCAAAATGTAGTGTCTTGTAACAGGTGAAAATCCACAAACAAAGGTTTGTGGAAAAAGCAGTTCATGTGCCTTTGGCCACAGTATGTAATATAATTAAGAAAAGCTTCCATCTGTAAAAGTGACACAATTTGCTTCCATGACATATTATGTTCAACTGTTGCATACTTTAAGCAGCCAAAGAATGAAATGGGTAATCATGCTATTAAGCATGATGACACAGCACCTATGAATTTCTATGTTACTGGACTGTTGAAACAGACACTGCAAAATTGTTGTCTTCCTACACTAGAATGCTTATGGAAATCCCAGGGAGTAGTGATGTGTTTCCGACATGACAGCCTTATGATGGAGTCTTTTGCAATAGAAACTACACTGCAGAGCTATTGTCAATATGAACGGCCATTATACAGAGCATGAATGGACCTAGTAATATGAATTGTTACAACATGGTGAGGCTTCAAAATAATTCTAATATAATGTACTCAACCTCTTTAAATTTATCTAAAAGTTAAAACTTAAAAATTAATTACACCATACCTTTTTTCAGACCCATAACATACATTGTATCCAGAGCATCAATTAAAGTGAGACCTACTCCAAACCAGTTATGAAAGGACTTGGATACAGGTTTTAAATGATCTTGACCCCATGCATATTCTCTATATCCTTTCCAAGCATGCTTGAACGCATCAACAACAGCTTTTTGATATGGGTTGGTTGGACCTATTTAAAAACATAGGTGTTTACATACAAGACAACCAATATCAAAGTTATTTACTCAAGAAAGATCAGTTCAAATTTCTCATAAGTATGAACAATGAAAAGAATTTCATTTTCACAAGTACAAATGACATTCTTCCACAGTTATTATACTATCCACAGTTCTAAGGATTTTTACTTTATGTTGTACTGTTGCCAAAACACAATAACAATAAATTGATATGCATAAAGTTACCTTTCTATCTCCTTTTCTTGAATAGGACTAATTTGATTTTTGATTAAACTTAACCTTGCATGAAATACAAATTTTCATTAGTTTGTACATTAAGCTGTTGTCAGCTTGTACAGGCTTTGACTAATTTATGTGACACTTTTTTTATTTATTGTCTTAATTACTGTAAAAATTAATTTTGTTATACTGGTTACATAAAAGAAAAAAAATTAGCTATTAACTTGTGATACAAGATATACATTATAAGTGATGGCAGTGCAAGTCACTACACACACTATGAATCACAGCTGTGACCTCGACTGAAGGTGTTGGCACTACAAGTCACTACACACAATATGAATCACAGCTGTGACCACGATTGGAAGTGTTGGCACTACAAGTCATTACACACACTACGAGCCACAGCTGTGACCTCGATTGGAAGTGATGGTACTACAAGTCACTACACACACAATGAGCCACAGCTGTTACCTCAATTGGAAGTGATGGCACTACAAGTCATTACGCACACTATAAACCACAGCTGTTACCTCAATTTGAAGTGATGGCACTACAAGTCACTACACACGCTATGAGCCACAGCTGTGACCACGATTGGAAGTGATGGCACTACAAGTCATTACACACACTATGAGCCACAGCTGTGACCTCGATTGGAAGTGATGGCACTACAAGTCATTACGCACACTATAAACCACAGCTGTTACCTCGATTGGAAGTGATGGTACAACAAGTTGTTACGCACACTATAAACCACAGCTGTTACCTTGATTGGAAGTGATGGCACTACAAGTCGTTACACACACTATAAACCACAGCTGTTACCTTGATTTGAAGTGATGGTACTACAAGTCACTACGCACACTATGAACCACAGCTGTAACCACGATTGGAAGTGATGGCACTACAAGTCATTATGCACACTATGAGCCACAGCTGTGACCTCAATTGAAAGTGATGGCACTACAAGTCATTATGCAACTATAAACCATAACTGTGACCTAGATTAAAAGTACACTTGACTAACATTTTATTCATGATAAGTATCAACACATAAATGAAACTCTTTACCAAACAGCATCAAAAAGAAGCAATTGATGATGATGCTCAGCCATAGGGAAGTATCTTTACTAGCTCTTCTACTGTGTATTGAATAAGTATGTGTAATAGCAAAATTCTGCATAGAGTAAAACGTTATATAATAATGATAGCACTTGGTTTTAGTACTAATAGATTATATATGTACTAGCAGAGATATACCTAAGAATGGTAACAAAGGAGAATTTCTACTTATCAAAATATACAATGAACATTTTCATACATGATAAGCCCTCAGTTATTAATGATTTTTTATAATGAGAAGGGTCCCAAAAGATTTTACTTGTCAATCAGAGTAGTTTATTTGCTGAGGAGGAACCATGGGAGAAAATTAGATACTGTTTAATACTATGTAAAATTTTATAATATAAGAAAATCATGTACAATCACAAATGACTGGTCGTCAGGTTTCTTAAATTACGATTTATATAAAAAGACTATTTGTTGTTAGTCTTACCAGCTGCTTCAAAAGGTTTTTCTTCTTTCTGTCCCAAAATTTGTTTTACTACGTCTTTTGAAGTTACTTTCTTGACCTGACAAAAAGTTACATAAAATACTGGGTAATCACCAACAAATTTATAAATTTGGTAAATTAACAACAACAAAAAATGTACCTCTATAAGCTAATTATAATAATGAAAAATTTAATACTAATTCATTATCATATAAACTATTCAGTTTGTTTAAGCACTTTTATCACTGTCAGTTTAAAAGAATGAAAATTTAGTTTGTATTAATTCTGTTTTTCTCTCTCATTTTTAAAGGAAATAAAGTTTAGGACTTATATTTAACCTAAAAATATAAATGATATTTACTCATATAGGACTTACTTCTTTCTTGCTCTTATTGTGAGGAGTTTCAATTTGTTGTCCTTTACCAAATACTTCAATTTGCTCATTATTTTGTGGCTTAACTTGCTGATCTTTCTTTAAAGATTCCGTAAAAGAAATAGGGAAGGTGATTTTTGTAATATCATTCTGTTGGACAAGTTTACTTTTCTTCATTTTAAGTGGGAGTTCTCTAAATGCAGAATACACATAAATCAGTGACAGAAAGCAAACTACCAACAAAATAATGATGACGAATCGAAGAAATCTTGGTAGGCGGTTCCATTCCTAGAAACAAACAAAATATCACTACATCTATAGTAGAAATTATAATTAATGATCATATACTTTCATTAATTTATATTATTATTTTTTTGTTAGTTAAGGAATGAATTTTTTAGGAAACAACACAAGTTCATTTGTCATGTTACCATGTACCATTTAATTTTGTAATGTGTGTGTATATATAAATATATATATATATACCTTAAAATTGTTCTTTGAAAATCATTGAAAGTGTAAAGAATTGAAATTTGATCCATAAACTACATTTTTATCAACGTTATGTCTATAAGCTTTTTTTTTTTAAATTGCGTAAAGTTTGAAAATAATGGATACTTTTTAGTGATTAAAAAGTTGACACTAAATAGCAAAATTCTATCAGTATATTTGGTCAAATTATTATTAAATTGGACTATTAACTTCTAAACTAAACTACATGTAAGTACTTCTATGACTGTATATTACAAAAACTGTTGATAAACTGACATTATATATATATTTTCTATAGTTTGGGAATTAAATGGTTTAAAAGTTTTCATTAATACATAACTTAACAAAAATCATAATGAATCAAATGAGTGGGTCCCAAATTCAATAGTCTTGGGGTTATTAATGTATTTTTAATATAATTATTCTTGTTCTTTTAATTTTTATATCTTCAAATGCATATTAACAAAAACAATAAGAAATATTTAAAATCAATCAAAAATACCATTACTTTCATTTATATAATATTCAGCAAGTTTTTGCTGAAGTGCAAAAGTCTTCACTGGCTTCATCATTGAAAATGACTTACTACCATTACTTAATTCTACTTTTCTACACTGGTTAATTATAAGACTACTTATCATACTTGCACTGCTATCTTAACCATAGACCTAAATGTCAGTTAAATTTAGTACTCATTAACATTAATAATTCTATGGTATGAATTTCACACATACCCGCCACATACTTCTTTTATTTATTGACATCTGCTGTATATCGGATATGGAAACGGAAAATGACATGGTGCCAGTTGTTTTGTCTTCTGTGTTTTTGGTGCTACTATAACCTTCTTACGTTTTATTACAATAAATGTCAATGAAGTGTCTAAAAACAAAAACCATCAAATTTGAAAATCTTAAAACACTAGTTTTCCTGATAGTGCATAATATGCTTCTAAATAGGACATTGAAATTAAAAAACAATAAAAAACAGATATTTAGATCACTTTCCTCAAAAAGAAATAGCATGTGAAAAAGAGTTTTAAGCTAATGCATTTGTGGTTGTGGGAGGGCCACAATATCTACAAGTATCTTTTAAAATAATATAAACAGTATTTATTACCATAAGGTCATTTTTTCCCTTATAACAAACAAAAAACAATATTTATGAAATTCTCTCAGCAGTGATCACTTTCGGTTAAAAGAAAAATGCCTTGTAATTTTTAAAACAAGAAGTAAAAACAGGCATGTCATACTAACTTAACACTGTTCAATAAATTTTGGGAAACAAAAAGACTATTGCAGGTTGATGCTTAATTATGTCTCATCCTGCCTCACACCATCAGTATATACTAATTATAATCTAGTAGTAGTAATATTATTACTACTACTATTACTACAAGTCCATTTAATTTATTTCTTCCCCCCACAGAAGTTTATACTTAATTGTAAATTATTTCACAAACCTAACTCTTAAATAAAAATTATCACGCGTGATAGCACGAATTAAAGTTCTCTTACTTTTCATAATAATATTAATAATGTGGTAATACTTTCTATAGTATGTTTTATAACTTCATCACTTATTTTTTTGTGCAAATCGGTATTAAAATTAAAGTTAACTTAGCACTGGCACTGTGGCAGTAATCACCCGCAACACTTCCAGTTTTACTTTTTAATTTTAACTATGCAAGTTTATATCAAAAGTTCACGACATATCAAAATGAAACTATAATTATACACATGACTTTCATTATTTAAGCAAAATTTCCAGTATATCCTATGAAATGGATTTATTTTCCATTTTTGATACCTGAAAATTTAACAAAATCAACTACCTTTAAGTTTAACCTATTTTTCAATATCATAATGACTGTCGAATACTAATACTTAGTAATAGCACTACTGACATCGTTAGCTAGAACATTTGGATCAGTGATTACTATGTAAAGCGTCCTCCTCCGGTTTACAAAAATATTTAGTGCTAATGCAAAATAAGTCTACCCATCTTTTAATTTTTGCATATAAAATATATATTGCACTATATTTTTGTATCATTACACATTATCATGACATTGTTTCAGAAATAATGTGATATTTTCCTTATCTTTTTTATATTTTTAATTACTTTAGTCTGCGACTTTGGTCAAAGGGACTTGCTGCTCTTAGGAGGCGGGGGGTCAAGATGGGGAACTGCCCCAAAATTCTGGCCCAAATAGTTTTCGGACACAAATCATCCAAAATATTCGGGAAAATTATATTTGCAAATTGATTACATCTTTTCAGAAGATATATTACTCAAACATGACATTTTTACTTGCACCTTTTAAACACTTTAGCGACATATGGCTCCGCATGGAAGTCATTGGAACCATTTTTTCCAAGCGACTTTAAACCTTATAGTACACGATTTTAAGGTCGATTGTATATTTTTGCTTGCCCCCCCCCCCAGTCAAAATCAAGCCCATACACCTATGTTTGCTGCTAAAATCAATTATTATTTAAAACAAAATATAACATATAATATATAATAAAAAATTTAAAGACAACATGGGGAATGTTGGTCTAATTAGGCTTTTCTATCCACTAAACAAAACATTTTTGCATTTTACATTAACTTAGTTATTTAGCATTTTTCTTTATTAAACAGTATTGTCAATTATGAAAATTGCTTTATGGAAATAAATAAAAGCAAGCATTATATGCTTTACGATTGCACATATATATATATTATAAAACATTTCAAGGTACAGAAAAAAAAATGTGGTAAATTTGAACCACCTGTTTATGTCATGGAATATCAAGTCATTCTAAAATATTGCAGAATTGTTAGTCTATCTATCTATCTATCTATGGACAATGTAAAACATTGGGTCTAAAATATTCAGAAAATACAACTCACCTAGATCCTGTTAAGGTTTTTTTCTTTCCCTCACACTTTAATCACACCAGTAGATTCTCCAGGGATAATGTTGTTTTGTGGTTGGCCACCATGGTGGTCTTGAAATCCTCCAAGACTTCTTGGCAAGTGTTCTTTCTGCATCAGCTAGCTTGTTCCGCAAGTAATGCATCTCATCCTCTGCCAATATTCTCTCTATTGCAGAGAGCCCAATTCTTGGTTTAGTCAGCAGCCATTTCCCCAGTTGAAAAACACCTGTAACCATGTTGTTCTCTGTTGTCGCTGATGGAAAACTGATAAAAATGCTTACTTTCAACCTGGTCTTATTGTTTTCTCACTCTGTGGTTGTCATACAAACAGTGCCCAGTTGGAAGGAATGAGGGTTGATACTGTAACAAGCTCATACATATACATTTAAGCTGATTCAGGCTAGATGATGCCAACCATAACCTTTGATCAATATTCTTTACCATTGCTTCATTGTCTTTCCTTAAGAAACTTCTCTCAGTTACTAGCTTTGTATTAGTTTTTCGCATGATCTATAAAGTTTTTAACTGTGTGGGTGATACTTTCCACACCCACCCCAGTACATTTACAGCTTGCATTGTCATGTGTTATTACCACATCTTGTACTAAAATAATGTTAATAAAATGTTCAGTAAAACTGCGTGCCTATTAAAATATTACAATTTGAATAACTGAAAATATTATATTACAACCAAATAAAACACTAGGTACACCAATTTTATATTTGTTATGACATCTGAGCTACTGTCTATGGAGTTCATTTACTAATGATAATTTTACACACTCATGAATATTTCGGTCTGATTCAACTGAAATATTTTTTTGCACTACCCTTTATGAGAAACGCCAGTTAAAACTATTTTCACTTAAGTGTACTGTGAATCCCTTTGTTAGTTTTATCTATTACATTCACTACCTGACAAATATTTCAATAACAAAATTGAAAAATTCTCTTTCTAAAATTACCCAAAATAACTGTGTTTTCAAATAATACCTTCCAGATTAGTAATTACAGTTAATATCACACCACCAATTCTTAACACCGAGAATACATCTTTTTTCTCCATGCACATATTGCCCATTGTTATAATTCTTTCATTTTTGTTATATAATGCTCCAAACTGAGTATGTAATGTTCCTATACATACATAACACCACATAGATATATTTATTTATATACATATATCGCTATGTACGTATATGTCACTACACATCATTAAATATTACAGTAGTTTATATCATATTGTCTGTGGCTTCTTTAGTATTGTTGCGTCAGTGAGGTCACGTGACTAGTATCACGCCACGTCCTTCTCGAACCTTCGTGAATTATCGGGAGACTACTAGATTGGGGTAGTCTGGTATATATAAGATGATCACAACGTGACGGAACAAGGAGTAATTGAACTGCAGTCAGAGAGAGTGTGTAATTGAACTGAGTATTGTCGAGCACGAGCACGTGAGATGTTATAGCGTTTGTTATAGAGCGACTGTTGAAATTAAGTGTATCGGTAAAGTTGTATTCGGAAAGAATAAACCAGTTTTATTTAAGAAAGGACTTGTGTCGTTAAAGTTTCGTCGGAACGAATTTACGGAAAATTAACTAACGAACGGAGACGTAACAAATTGGTGTCAGAAGTGGAATAAGAAAAAAAATGGAAACGAGAAGCGGCAAATCAAACTACAGCTTAGCAGATTTGATGGCAGCAATACAAGAACAGCAAAAGAAACAAAAAGAACGAGAAGAGTAACAAGAAGAAAAATTACAGCAGTTCTTGGAGGAAAAAGAAAATAAACAAGAAGAGAAATTACAGCAGTTGTTAGAGGAAAAAGAAAAGAAACGAGAAGAACGAGAAAATAAACAAGAAAAGAAACAAGACGAGAGACAACAGCAGTTGCAAGAAAACCTGCAACAGTGGCAGCTCGAACAACAAAATAAACAAGAAGAGAGGTTACAACAGTTGTTGGAGGAAAAAGAAAAGAAACAAGAAGAAATATTACAGAAGTGGCAAGAAAACCTACAACAATGGCAGCTCGAACAGCAAAATAAACAAGAGAGACTACAGCAGTGGTTGGAGGAGAAAGAAAATAAACAAGAAGAGAGACTACAGCAATGGTTGGAGTAGAAAGAAAATAAACAAGAAGAGAAGTTACAGCAGTTGTTGGAGGAAAAAGAAAAGAAACAAGAAGAGAGACTACAGCAGTGGCAACTGGAACAAGAAAGGAAACAAGAAGTACAAACGGAAAACATTAAAAGCGAATTAGATACATTAAAGGATGATCTATTGTCTTTTACACAAGGAGGATACATTGACCATCAACTTAATCAGCCCCAGACAATGGCAAGCCCCTTCCAGACCCCGCAGTTAAACCCTAATGCAGACATCTTCAGTCCTGTTAGAAGTCACATCCAGATATAAATGTCAGTACTAGGAGTGATCCAGTACGAAGGAAGCCACAGAAATTCGATGGGAAGGCACCGTGGGAAGCATACAGAGCACAGTTTGAGCTACTGGCAGAGATGAATGGA